TCCCATCTTACTCGAGCCTACTGTAGCAGTGATTGTTTAAAATCCACATTGGCACATTTGTTTCCTCCTCTAGCTTCGTTCCCTTTGATTTATAAACGTCCAGTGTAGCTTTTACAACTCCATTTTATGAGATGCTGAGCAGATTGCCAAATTGCCCTCCAACAGAGAAAGTGCCATTTATGGTGGCAGTGATTTATTTAAAGCTGTATCTAATCATACACTGGTTCTTAACGCGTTTAAGTGTGGTATCGACAGAAAGACAAACTTGTTTATTTTCCATTCTGGGAAATGCGATTCTCTGTTGGAATAACAGCAGTTACAAAGCTCTAGCTGTGACCCTTACCTCGTTACCTTTCCATTTTGTATTTCTGCCAAAACTGTTATGCCTTTTTGTTTTGTATGATATTGTCTCTGAGGATGCGGCACAGAAAGTATTTCAAACTACTGGATAATTTAAAGAACCTTAGCTGTTCTTCTAGCTGTTTTCTCTCAGTTAAAACTCCAGAAATGCGTATGCTGCTGCCTTATTAAATAAAAAAAGGACCATTTTTTCCACATGAGTTAGTTAGGCTTGGATTGATTAGTACTTCAGTCAATGAATTTTCAGACTCCTCAGGGAAGGACAACAAACTCTTAACTGAATGAGCTAACTGTGTGAACACTACTTCCATGCCCACTTTAGAAAAGCTCTGGTTTGCTAAAGAGGGGTATTTTACCCAATGTGTCTTCTTTCTTTTTTTTTAAATGGTAGACATTTAATGCCAACCGTAGGTCGACTGTCGCCTCATGTCACCTTTGTCAGGGCCAGTCGGGTTGAAAAAGTGATAATTGAACATCGCAAGACTACAGTCAATGGCCGATTAGCAGGTACGCTCTGCGCCTGCTGACAGAAATATCTCCCCTTAACAGCAGGTGCAGTGTCTGTATTTACATTCAGAAAGGGAAAGAAGAACTGTGGATATACAATCTGTAAACAGCTGCTGTTTATAGCTGCTTCTAATCAAGAACATGTCTGATATGAAGTTGCAAGTGACGCTGCCATTCTCTACCTTTGGTCTTTTAGTTGTGGAAAAAAGAAAGGAGGCTGTGCTAGTGAAAAACAAGGAGAAACTAAATGTGTGAAATCATGGATACTACAGTGACAGGCTGTAAGGACTATACAGAGCCCATTCTCTTCTTGTACACTGATTTTCTAAGTTGGTCTCTCTGGCCAACAAGACCCACTGCTGATTCAGCATGCCTAATTGGCTGCAGAGCTGCAGTCAGGGTCCAACTGTCACCATTGGTGTGGGACACACCATGAGGGGGAAGGTGACAGATGCTCACCAACAGCCCAACAACATCTGACCATCGGCTTGTTGTGTCACAGGCCTTAGATTGAGGGTTGGGTGTTAGGATAAGGGGCACACAGAATGCATTATGTGTCCTCACAAAAATAGCTGTACAAAGCATGTGTGTTTGTGTGTGTGTGTGTATAGTGATTGAGAGTGAGAGGCAAGCAAGCAAAGTGGTGCCAATTTTTTTCAGCTGCTGTGCTTACATTAGCATATATCATGCAGCGATCCATAATGCATAGCTTGTTAACAAGGTTCATATTTTTGATCCATAATGAAGGAATATATTGTCCGAGTTTCCAGGGTTAAACGTAATGGCTGCAGGCTGCTTTCCCTTCTGCCACTCCCTGGCCACGTTATTGTACAGTATGGTAGCCATTGATTTCTCCGTGCCATTTGGCTATTGATTGGAGTGAATGCCATTATGTCAGTGAGATTATAGCCCTCCGAAGCACAGTAAGTCAGGAGTGGAAAACCAGTGGCTGAGAACTGATGAGATGAGATGAGTGCTTACTGCATCAGATACAACAGCAGCTGTGTTTCAGCACAGCACTGTACAGAACCACACAGCTTTTTTGTGGCATGGCACAACCTTGCCCAGAGTAGAGCCTAGCGCATCAACGCCAGAGCATTCTCCTTCCTCTAGGTTCTGTCTGTGCCAAAGGGAGCTACAGAAACACAGAGGGCAAGTGAATAATCACTTTCACTCTTCTTGACACAGATTTTTTTTATTGGTGCCCTTCATTCCAGTCTAATCTTCTCTGTGACAGCTGTTGCCTCCCAGATTGTCTCTGGTTGATCATTCAAATTGACCACAATTTGCTAGGTGGCGGGTTGAGGGGGAGGGGGTTTTCAAGGTCCAGGATCATTGGGATGGGGTTGTGGACTGAAGAAAGTGAGTGGGTGTTCACTGAATCAGTCTTCTCTTTGGCTCTCACAACAGCCTGTCATGTATTTAAAGTAATACTGAGCTTAACTGCATTTCTAGCTGGGGCCTGAATTTAAACAGATCTGTGCATGGAAATCCAGGCATACAGGAACATGATCCACTGTGCAGTGCATGTAAAATGCATACTCATGAAAACAACTTGCAGTGATGTGTGTAATGCAAAAAATCTGAAACCGAGCCTTTCAGCCTCCTGTATCCTGGTTGCCTATGAGGGCTTTTAACTGCTGACCCCATGGTTGTGTTCCATGTTTTTCAATGAGACACAGCTGAAGACGACACAACAGTTAAAGATAACCGTCTGGGTGGGAAATGGCTATCAGACTGGCCTTGGTTTTATGGAACAAGAAAACAACTTCAGTGTCTTGCCTGTCATCCAAACCTGGGAGTTTCATTTCTAAACACACAAAGGCAGTGTTTAGAAAGGACACGTGAAGTTGTGTGGCCCACCCTCTGTAGGCCCACTTTTCAAATTCATGCTCTGTTAATTAGATGATAAATTGAGCATGAAAGATTAATTTGCATTTAGTTCATCATGTTCACAAGCAGCATTTTCTATACAGCAAGGCCAAAAGTCTAATAATCCAGAGGCAAAACTGACATATCAGTATGTGCTGTCTTTCTTTCAAGGACACTGAAGTGGAGCCCTGTGGCAACACCGTCTCTATGATTCACACGTTTTGCTTCCTCCCACCAAATTCTTGTCGCACACAGTCTGAGCCGACATACAGTATCAGACACACTTAACACTGAGCCGAGAGTGATTACACATTCAGTGTAATCAAAATCCTAATGAACATAATTAAAATCAAGGCTTTAACGGCTTACATCACTATGGGTTTACACAGTCAGGGTGTACAGTATGTGTGTGCGTTAAGGGTTATCAGAGTTTGTTAGAGCGCTGCAGGCAAAAAGCATTGAGGCCGCCTCTTAGTCAAAGCATTGACATGGGCATTTTTCTTCCTTTACATTTTGAGAATTAATTTTTGCCATGCAAGAAGAGCTACAGCACAGCATACACTACAGTGATGCACGGAGCAAGTGAGAAAACAAGGCTGGGTGGCCACGTCAATTTCAAGCACCCGCCTGGGAACCAAAAGGTTATGTGTTTAATACCAGCAATGACTACTGTAAAGTGCAGCAGGGATTACAAGTAAAATATATAAATCCTTGAATGCGACAGTTTGTGTCAACACATGACACACTGGGGTTATATGGTTCAAACCAATTATGTTTGTTAGCAGTTAATTTTCATTTTATGTCATTGATTAATCGATTAAGCTCCAGAAAGTATCAGAAACTGTGAAAAATGTCAGCACAATTTCAATTTGCTAACTGCACAAAGCCAAGCCTGAAGGTTGGCTGTTCAGTTTGCTATCATACAGGGCCGGTCCTGGGTCCATGGGTGTCCGGGGCGAGTTGTTACATTGCCTTCTACAGCTGCTGTGCTCTCCAGCTGGGAGGAACCACAAGGCCTGAACACAGAGGGGAGTCTGTGTGGACCAGACAGATTTAGCTAAGAATATAAATGTACAGAAAATGGCCCCCATACATAAATATACTCACAACAGTACTATCAATAAAGCATTTTTTTAAAACTTGGACACCTATGTCACCTAAGCCATGGGCTGGCCCTGCTATCATATAAGACAAGAAAAGTAGCAAAGGTCACATTTTTGCTTGAAAAAATTACTTTATTGGTTATTAAAAAGTTACTGATTCATTTTCTGTAGACTGAATAATTAACTCTCCAATTGTTTAAGATTTATGATAAAAAAAAGGATTATTTTGTTCAAATGTCTTGTTGAATACCTATGTATTGTCTGGAACATAGGCCTCTAAAGCTTTCTGATCATTGTAAATCTTAATCCTTAAAAGCATGGCAGGTGGCCATGATAGGGGTTGCATGTAGCGGCCATGTTTCCTGTTAAAGTGCCGTTGATCAAAAAACCCACAGACTTCTCACTCATTTTTAATCAACCTGGATTAAAATCAACAAATGTTAAGTGATGCAAATGCATTTGCTAAAATGTAGAAGCCTCGTCATTATTACAGTCTGAAATATAGGTGGGGTAAAAAAGCACGGGCTCGTGAGGGTTATATATTTTCTTAGTGACTCCTAGCTGCTGAAAGAGTGCAGTGGGGGTGGCGTGTGTGCGTGTGTGTGTGTGTGTGTGTGGACCTCAATCAGAACATGGATGGGGCTCATCTTTCGTGCAGACCGGATGCACGAGCTGCCGCTGCTGCCTGGGCACGGGGTGACTCTTCATAATAAACATCTGCCTTGAATAAAACTGACGAAAGCCGAGCTTGCTGTAAAGCTTTGCAGTAATGATGACGGTTACAATCACGCATAGCTATTACTTTAACCGTATTTGCAACATTACACCACATGGATTCATTCGGCTGCACGCGCCAACATACTGCTTTAACACCGAGAAGAGTCACAAACTAGACCGGTGGAAAGTGACAGAACTGCTAAAAATTCCCATCGAGTTAGCTTTAAACTTATTGTCTATTCACCCCCCCAAACCAGAATATGCTCATTTGCGATGTCTGGCTTGTCCTGTATATGCACCCTCTCTCTCTCTTTCCGGAGACAAGTCGTAGCACGTTCAACATATTGTGGAAGAGTGAATGTTTGCTCCCCGTAGGTCGCTGCCTCACCTTCTAGCGTGACACCAGAGGCAAAAGGCTGCTGTTCAACTCTGCTGGCTTACCTTCAGGAGACGCTGAGGCGCTGTCCGGGGTGCTGAAATGCTCAGTCTCTGTCCAGGGTGCTGAATATCATCGCAGACTCCAGAGAGGCTTTGTAAATCCGCTGCGAGGAGGCGCCGATAACGCTGCTCCAACAACTACTACCGCCGTCAAGTTACGTTATAGAATATCCAATTCCCAGACGCGTGTGCAGCACAGTACAGACAGGACGAGGTGGAGAGCGACAATGTCTCAGAAAGTGTGAATCTGAAATGTAACCGTGAATGTTGGAGCCGTTTTGGGAAGTGTAACTGCTGAGGCTTCTTCGCTAGTTGCTTCTTCCTCCAGATAGGCTCAACCAACTCTCTCTCTCTCTCTCTCTCTCTCTCCGCTCCGCTCCCT